TAATCAATACAAGTATAAGTATAAAACAAGTATGTCCTACGACACATGAAAATTTGACTCGTTCAGTGATAGCGGTGAAGTTGTTGTTACAGCAGCAGTGATGGTGTCTGTGTCTATGATGTTATTGTTAATATTATTGTTGTTATTGTTGTTGTATAGAGGGGACACGTGCTGTACCGTGACAGCAGCAGTGATGGCGTCTGTGTCTATGATGTTGATGTTAATATTATTGTTGTTATTGTTGTTGTATAGAGTGGACACGTGCCGTACCGTGACAGCAGCAGTGATGGCGTCTGTGTCTATGATGTTGATGTTAATGTTATTGTTGTTATTGTTGTTGTATAGAGTGGACACGTGCCGTACCGTGACAGCAGCAGTGATGGCGTCTGTGTCTATGATGTTGATGTTAATGTTATTGTTGTTATTGTGGTTGTATAGAGGGGACACGTGCCGTACCGTGACAGCAGCAGTGATGGCGTCTGTGTCTATGATGTTGATGTTAATGTTATTGTTGTTATTGTTGTTGTATAGAGGGGACACGTGCCGTACCGTGACAGCAGCAGTGATGGCGTCTGTGTCTATGATGTTAATGTTATTGTTGTTATTGTTGTTGTATAGAGGGGACACGTGCCGTACCGTGACAGCAGCAGTGATGGCGTCTGTGTCTATGATGTTGATGTTAATGTTATTGTTGTTATTGTTGTTGTATAGAGGGGACACGTGCCGTACCGTGACAGCAGCAGTGATGGCGTCTGTGTCTATGATGTTGATGTTAATGTTATTGTTGTTATTGTTGTTGTATAGAGGGGACACGTGCCGTACCGTGACAGCAGCAGTGGTGGCGTCTGTCTCTATAATGTTGATGTTATTGTTATTGTTGTTATTGTTGTTGTATAGAGGGGACACGTGCCGTACCGTGACAGCAAGTTGACACGCATCCTACAGGAGAGTCTGGGAGGCAACGCGCGCACCATCATCATCATCTGCTGCTCCCCAGCGGCTTACAATGAGTCAGAGACCAAATCCACCCTCATGTTTGGTGAGAGGTTCGTACGTCATGGCTGGGAGAGCCGGGATTAGCGTTAGGCTAAGATGTGTAGTACTGGTTTGTAGTACAGGTGTGTAGTACAGGTGTGTAGTACAGGTGTGTAGTACATGTGTGTAGTACAGGTGTGTAGTACAGGTGTGTAGTACAGGTGTGTAGTACAGGTGTGTAGTACAGGTGTGTTCGTTGCTTGCAGAGCTAAGACCATCAAGAACACGGTTATAGTGAACGAGGAACTGACGGCGGAGGAATGGAAGCGTCGCTACGAGCGCGAGCGTGACAAGGTGCTGAGGCTGCGTGCACAACTACAGCGTGCAGAGTCAGAGCTAGAGAGATGGCGCCACGGTACGTAACGCGCAGAGTCAGAGCTAGAGAGATGGCGCCACGGTACGTAACGCGCAGAATCAGAGCTAGAGAAATGGCGCCACGGTACGTAACGCGCAGAGTCAGAGCTAGAGAGATGGCGCCACGGTACGTAACGCGCAGAGTCAGAGCTAGAGAGATGGCGCCACGGTAGGTACCGCGCAGAGTCAGAGCTAGAGAGAGATGGCGCCACGGTACGTAACGCGCAGAGTCAGAGCTAGAGAAATGGCGCTACAGTAGGTAACGCGCAGAGTCAGAGCTAGAGAGATGGCGCCACGGTACGTACCGAGCAGAGTCAGAACTAGAGAGATGGCGCCACGGTACGTAACACGCAGAGTCAGAGCTAGAGAGATGGCGCCACGGTACGTAACACGCAGAGTCAGAGCTAGAGAGATGGCGCCACGGTACGTAACGCGCAGAGTTAGAGCTAAAGAGATGGCGCCACGGTAGGTACCGCGCAGAGTCAGAGATAGAGAGATGGCGCCACGGTACGTAACGCGCAGAGTCAGAGCTAGAGAGATGGCGCAACAGTAGGTAACGCGCAGAGTCAGAGCTAGAGAGATGGCGCCACGGTACGTAACGCGCAGAGTCAGAGCTAGAGAGATGGCGCCACGGTACGTAACACGCAGAGTCAGAGCTAGAGAGATGGCGCCACGGTACGTAACGCGCAGAGTCAGAGCTAGAGAGATGGCGCCACGGTACGTAACGAACAGAGTCAGAACTAGAGAGATGGCGGCACGGTACTCACATAGTTATACCGATCCACACATACAGTCACGCACGGGGCCAGCACACACGCGCAACAACGTATAATCTGTAGTTTGCTAGAAATCGTGGCAAACTACGCGGTTGTTAGTGTTTTAATCATCTGCACTATTACCGTCATCAGACCAGTCCAGCTTCGTCTCGTAGATTGTTGGGTGGTGGGGGGGTGTAGAGAAGGAATGCAGTAAGCTCGGATCTGGTAGAGGAATCTTCCGGGATCGGCATTCTAGTCAGGTTCACTATGTCAATAAATTTAATTTCGTTCAGAATTATGGTAGATTAGCAAACCTATACATTTTTGGAAAGGTTATAACATGAGGAATTCGAAAAACAATGTTTACATTTGCGGAGATACCGGCATGGCCGCCATTTTGGATTTTCAAAATGGCCGCCATAAAATACATATTTGGCCGTATTTCTGCCTCTAATCACCCTAAAAACTTTTTAAAATATGCTAATCCTATGTTTTCAGGGACAAGGAATCCAATGAAAGTATCGAATAAGTGTTATGGAGAACAGTAATACAAGAATCAAAGATTTTAACTTGCAAAAATCTGTCTTTATATTCGCGATAGTGGCATAATGAAATACATCATACATGTTATAATTGTTAACAGGCAGTTAATAACGTCAAGATGTGTCAATCATTCATATTATCTTAGACAGGCATGAAACGTATAGCTAGTAAACGACAGCAAACATACACTGGCAGTCTGTAACATACACATGTTTACAGAATATGCCATTTAGAGTTCATCTTCACTGTCCTGTGTGTCATAGCCGACAATACAGTCCGCATCGTTTTCACAGTCCGTTCCACACAAGCAAAGGTCGGTGCAAGTTAAGTCATTTCTTCTACATGAGCACCTCTGGGTTGAGCAATTAGCTTTACAATGACATCTGACTAACTCGACAATAGCCTGTGGTGCTGGTAGAACTTTGGTGGTGATAGGTAGTATGTGACCTTTGTCGTCCTGATGGTAGCCATGTTTGAGTGGGTCAAACAACTGTTGCCACATGACGGTGGCCTGGCACCAAACTCTACTCTGTACTCGCACACGTTCGATATGCTCCTCAAGGGCACCAGTTGTTGGAGGCAACTTGTTACTTTCTGCCAGATGTTTGCAAAACAGATGCCATCTGAGGTCAGGGATACTTGCGATCTGAATACCTTTTGGGCAGTACGCTAAGCATACAAAGCTGGCCAATATGTCTTTCACCTCCTGCGTTAGATCGTTGTCCTCTGGTAGTTTCATTAGTGCTTTGACTATGTTCCTTTCAGCCTTGATGTAGTGTTGAAACCATTTCGTTTTACCTACTCCTGAGAATCGACCGACATTGTCTGCCCCAGTGAATGCGTGGAATACAGGTAACGCTGTTGCCTTGTCTCTTCCTAGCGCTCTCCAGATGGGCCCTACCTCCACCATACCTGATACCATGGCCATCGATGTGTATTTGCAGAGCTTGTCATAGGCGGCAACAGCCAGAACTAGGACGTCTGTATCTGGGGTGAAGAAGACTAGCTGTGCTTCTGGATAACGTTGGGATGCGGCTACTGCTAAGCTGATCATCAATGTGTCAGCTTCCTCGTGGTTGTTTGGGTCAAACTGCATGCTCTGGTTGCTTCTAGTATGGCCCGATGCTGACGTGATGATTAACTTAGGGGAGTTTGCGTTATATTCCAGTGTTGCCTCAGCAAGGTATATGGTTAGATCAGCTTTCGTCTTTTCGTGAGATAGGAAGCGGCCCATTGGTATATGTTTGATGTTTGTATCATCTGCAATCTGGTATTGAACAGGGTCCTTGCCTTGTCGTCGTTTCTCTCTGGTTTTCTGCTTCAATGAGTCTGCCTTGTATGTGTCGAATACCAAGATAATCACGTCGGATCCTGCTGTCATGTTCATAAGGTGGTCGTTGAAATGATGACCGAGATCTTTGACTGTGGTGATTGTCGCTGGTTTCTTTGTCATCTTCTGGACGAGCACCATTCCATCAACAACAGCAATTTTCATAGATGGTGATGTAGATGGCGTTCCTGTATCAGCAATATCATTAGCCTGTTCTGTTGCTTCTGCTGCTTGTGCATCAGCATGAATTTCTGTCGTTTTACCAAAGTTGTCAAGGCTATGGATAAGCTTTAACTGCGACCTGGCTCGTACATGGTCGGATTCCGAACTGTCGGTTGTGCGCAATATAGACTGCAACGTCTAGCAAACTCACGCCCACAATCCACGTACACGACACCGGACGCGCCACACGACAGGGCAGGAAGACGACCAACATACCGTACAATCACACGGCACACACACCAGTCACACACAGCGGCGCGCGCACACATACACACACACACACACACACACACGACACACACCACGACACACAGTGCACGATCACACAGACACACACACAGCACGCACACACACCAGTCACACACACGACACAGACCAGACACGGTACCACCACGGCACTGCAAACACTCGCTGTGTGCACAGCGATGAACTCAGTCTTCCCAATGCGCCGTGCTTCGCGCCACTGAGCTAGAACACACACATGGTCAACAGGACACCTCGCATACCTAGGACTCACAGTCACATCACCGACGCCGCTAACAGATCTTACGCATCTTCTTCGATCTCATCTCAACACTAGCCAACACACTCTACACAGCTCAGCGGCATCCATCTCCAGCTTGCAGTCACTACATGTTCACACTCGACATGCTACATTCTGGTTATGTCTGCTTCTAGACTGCGTGCCCCACAGCTGGAATCTCCCATTATATGGTTTCTGCAGAAACGCTAATCCAGCAAGTACGCATTCTGTCCAGTGTCGACTGCGCTATCGGATACTGTGAGAACTCTCTTGTAGGGATCATGCACCAGCACACACTGTTGATGAGATTGTATGTAGCTCGTCCACCTTCAGATGAGGTTTGCCGTGATCAGTATGCGCCTTTATGCGTATCACGTCATGTGCGATGGGTTTTTCATCTACAGCACTGTCGTGAACAAGCATGATGCTCTTGTGTTGTTTGCAGCATAGCATTGATTGGCCCTTGAGATCAGCTGAAAGATTGACATCTCAGAGTGGGCCAAGAGAACCAGTTGACGGCGTATGGC